GATATTATATGATTCAAATACATTAAAACATGACCTCTTGGGACAATTAATCACCTCTAGTGTTACCCGAAAATACGGGTTACAACATCCTTAATTCGTTTAACTTCTAATACTTGTTAACCACTCTTATACACCCTTGTATTGTTTAAGACCAATAGGATTAACTTCTTATCATCTCAAAGATAATCTCTTCTTGGATTTACGTCGACTAACTTACGGCGTGATCTAAGGTACGCGAATTTGGGTTGTAACAGTATCATTGTAGGGGCATTTACAATATATAGTTATTTAAATCTTGGGAACAACATTTATGCATAATAGCATAATAGGTACTACTATTATGCATAATAGCTTGACAACATTTCAATCAACTCACAGTCCATTTTAATTAACTCAAAAGAAGTCACCTTATATGTGATAATATCCTGAACACTGAAATATTTTTGGCAATCACAACAAAGAAAACTTTATCTATAGCAGAAATTTCAAACATCACAGCACAGTAGCACCACCCCAACACTAAAAAAGAAAAGCAGAACAGTAACAACGTCATTTGAAACACGAGCACTTGAAAATGCACCAGAATAGCACCACGTGAAACTATAATTCATTAGCAATTCTACATCACCATTCACCAAATATCGAAAAGCAACACAATAGTAGCACCAAAGAAGCTGATAGCAAAACCTAAAAAATGCACAGATAGGCATTTGAAATAAGGATAAACTACCATTAACATTAAACACATATTAGCACTAGAAAAAGCTAATTTACCAGCAATCTATTTAATTTTGTTGTGTCTGTTGAGAGTATATCCAACCAGAATCTATTTCAACTGCTACTTCTTGTCCAATTTCTTCTAGTCGCATTTCAACTTGCCCCCGTCTAATCTGAACCAGTACAGGCAGTTTTTCACCGATTGAAGTAATCTCTGGTTGCACAACATTATAGTTGCAAGTTCTTTTGTTGCGGCCAGGCTTGTTGCATATACTACAGTCTAGAGACTGTTGCTTCCTTTTCATCCTTGTTCGACTTGCTCTAACCTCATCAACTTCCTTTCTTCTCACTTTTTGTTTTCTTCCTCTCTTATTATTTCTTACCATCCTTGGAGGCCAAGGAGAAATTTTAGTTGATTTAGTCCACATTTGTGGCCCATTTATTGGAAGAATTGCATGTTCATAAATTCTTCTGTACGTTTCTACACATAGTCAAGAATATCATCATTCTTAGCCCAGATTGCTGCAATAGCATGCTTGCAAGGAATTCCCATGATATTCCATTTTCTACAGCTGCATGTTAGATTCTCCAAATCAACTGCCCAATTGTCACGAATAGTAGCTCCATTTTCTCCTCTGCCAACTGCATATGCTTCATTATCTGTAGTACCAACCTCCATCTATTACCAGATCTTCCATACCTATGCCAAAAAGTTATTGAATCCTTTGAATATCCACAAATTGCTGCCATGTTCTTGAACTCATCAAGGTTCATTTTTTCCACGTTAACATAATCAATATAGTCGATGTTGCCCCCAACATAATGTTTTTCTAGCATACGTTTCATAATTCCTCCATGATATATTTTGATGTTAACAAATGATGCCTCGGTTATCGCTTTTGAAATCACAAAAAATATATTGTGATATTTAACAAAAATAATACATATTCAATAAGACTTTAACAATAGTACATATAGAAAACGTCCAAATTTTAGGCCGTGGATTCAAGTCATATTTTTTTTTTAAATAATAACAAAGCTGCAAATGTGTTTTTTCTGAACAAAGGGTTCTCTTTACATATTCAGAAACATGCTTATTGTATAGAATTTTTTTGTGGGAAGGGGTTCGATAAAAGTAAATAAAAACTCACCATAAATTGGAGCCGATTCTCTACCACTGTAACTCCTTAAAGACATTGTTGCTTCCACGGTGTTCTAGGTTTTTTTGGAAGATAAGAAACAAAGAAGAGAGAAACTTATTTGCAGTCTGGTTGTTTCAAGAGGAGAAGCCCAAAGGACATTTCAACAACAAGAGTTTGAGTTTGGAGGGAAACATATAAGGCACACGTGAGAACTTTTGTTTCGTTAGAAACTAATGATGGTTAGGTTTGAGACCTAAAATGCACCACTTTCTCAAAATACGTGAATTATTAATGATCCACCCGAAAAAAATAGGATTACTTTGAGTCAAAGTCCAAAGGTAGGGGACTATTTTGACCTTTTTCTCCAGAATTGAACATAAATAACTAAGTTCAATGCTTCAAGCATACCGTACAACTTCTAGGAAAGCTAGTTAGTTACTTGAGTAATAGTTTCCATCTTTCTGATCACCAACACAATATGTGGTCATCTCTTTTTGCCGGAACTTTCCAACTTGCATGACTTCTTGTAACTTAAAACCACCACATACACACACCTCTCCCTCAATCAATTTCTTCCCAAAAATTATATATGTAAAATCCCAATACCCCCTTCAATTTCACCATATTATCTTCTTGATTTTGAGCTCCAAAATTAAAAGAAAATGGAGGGAATTTGCACTAGTTGCTTGTACTCTTCAATAACCCCATCAATTGAGTACAAAAGCAGAAGAAAACTCTTGAATTCCATTCAAAAAAACCGAACTTCATTGCCAAGAATTTGTGCAGTGAGTAGTGTTTCTCCTACACAAAGCCCATCAGAGAAAACTGGTGCTTTACAAGTGAAGGACATATCTAGGATTAGCGCTTTGGAGCAACTTGATTTTGAACGTGGTGTTTGCGTTCCCTTTCGCAAATATTCCCCTGAATCTGTATGTCAATGACACTCTTTCCTTTTTAGTCCGTCCAGGAAAAAATGTCAGTTTCTATATTCAGAAACAGCTTAATCTTACACACATTTGCTATAGCCACACAACTGTCCTTCTTAGACTTTTTTAGTCTGTCCTACAAAAGGATGACATCTTCTGTATTTAGAAACAATTTAATTTTAAAATTATTCCTAGTTGATTGTTTGCTGGAAAATTGATTTTAAGTATGTGAATAGAATTCTGGTAATTACTTGCTAGTTTTCTTAAGGGTTGTCCGGAAAAATTAAGCTTGTATTTTGAGAAATTGGTTTTGCTTAAAAAGCTTGGAACTCGATAAATTCCCACTGATTAGTTGAATTTTTATTTTGATAATTTTTGTTGGTTTATTGGAAAAATATGGAGTATGTGAATAACCTCCCAATAGTTATTTGCTCTTTCTTGGTTAATTTTTTGGGTATATTGGAGAATCAAATTTGTATACTTGATTAAGATCATTGTGATTATTTGAGTTTTTTTTTTTTTGGTTTACTTTTGTTGGTTTATTGGAAAAATATGGAGTATGTGAATAACCTCCCAATAGTTATTTGCTCTTTCTTGGTTAATTTTTTGGGTATATTGGAGAATCAAATTTGTATACTTGATTAAGATCATTGTGATTATTTGAGTTTTTTTTTTTTTGGTTTACTTTTGTTGGTTTATTGATAAGTTAGTAGTATATGAATTACCTCTCAATAGTTATTTACTATAATTTTGGTAACATTTTAGCGGATATATTGGGAAATTAAGTATGAGTTGGTGTGCTAGTCCTATGCGTTCATTTTCTTGATAAGGGCTTGTCTTATGTTCAATTTTGTGTGTTTATTGGAAATTTGTGTTTTTAGGTGAGAAACAAGGTGTTAGAGTCAAGGGGACAGATTTTGTCTTTGGTTGGTAGAGGAGTAGAGATTGTTTGGAATTTGGGGCTCTATTGGACTACATTGGTGTATGATTATTTGGTGGGCCGTGACGAAGAAGTTGTTCCTTTCCGTGCTCGGCAGCTGAGGACTCTGTTGTGTGATTTGGGACCTTCTTTCATCAAAGCAGGACAGGTTTGGTGCTTTTAAATTTCTAAAGTTCAAGAACAGTTGGTTATTATACTTGTGGACGAGTATCTTCTATTTGGAAATTGTAAAATTTGGAGTCAAATCTAATGAAACTGTAAAATGATTCTGTACAAGTATGTATAGCCGAAGAAGACTTAAATGGCAGTTGACGATGAAACAAACTGCTAGCAGAAGAATATGCATTGTGCAAATATCTAGTAGATGACTGTAGAAATGCTAGAAATTGCTGTACAATTGCTGAATTGTGTAACAAAGAAGCATTTCATACCCCATTGGCTGGAAATTCCAACAGGCAGTGAAAGTTATCGTTGTTGCTCGGACTCTCCGAAAATTTTGCCGGGTGTGTGTCGGATCTCCAAAAGCGTCCATTTTTGGAGGATCCGACACGCACATTTCGGAGAGTCCGTGCAATATATTAGTGACTCAGCAACATGACTATAAACAAGGTGTCCTGTTTGCTAGTGTTCATCCTTCTTTTTGGCATGAGTAGGAGTCTCATATTGGGTCAATCAGTGGCTTATTACTATACCACCAACATATTTAGAACTTCTAAGGGTCATTGCAGAAATAAATATTGCGTGGCGAATACACGTCAATCCAAACTTTTAAAGGAACAAATGAACATTTCTGTTTTACAGTATATAGTCAGTACTAGTGACAATTGAACTTTTCTTTTTTTCCTGATATATAGTCAGTATTAGTGCAATATGCTAGACTTGTGCTCTGAATTTACTTCACTTGTTTAAGCATCATGATTTTTGCCAAGAATGTGCACTTAAGCTTAGATGTTATTTCCTATTGATTTCGCTGTTCTTCAGCAACTATAGTCATTTATTTATTGTATTTTTTACAGGTGCTTGCAAATAGGCCTGATATCATAAGAGAAGATTACATGAATGAACTTTGCATTCTTCAAGATGACGTTCCGGCATTTCCTAATCAGGTAATGAGATGACAAGTGAGGTGCAGCTGATGCATGCTTTGTTACATAGACTACTTTTCCTTTGAACAGAAATCATTGACAATGATGTAGGTTGCTTTTAACATCATAGAAGAGGAATTGGGCCAGCCTCTTGAAGCTGTTTTCAGCAAAATTTCTTCAGAAACTATTGCAGCTGCAAGTTTGGGTCAAGTGTACCGTGCTACTTTACGTGCTTCAGGGGAAGATGTTGCCATAAAGGTTTGACCTTTTCCTGTTTTTCTTGCAATCTTTCTTTTCTCCGCCTGGTTTTACTGCTAAACCATTGAAGCCTGTTCTCGTTTTGTCGCTGTGTCAACCGAACTTTCAACAATCTCCTTTTATTGTCATTTGGAGAAATACCTGTTGCAGAACGAGAACAGTAAAAAGACGACTGTCCATTACATAAATAGCTGAAAAATATCTGTATAGCCCTTGGAAATAATCAAGTAGTAAAAGCTCTGTAGATTTGTTAAGGTCCGATATTTGAAACTTGGCAGAAATGTGTCTAGACAATCCTTTGTGTTATCTAATCATTCCTTTTCTTTATGCTAGTTTCACCTTTAACATATGTGCATCTCATTTGAAGCTTCTGGATGTTTTGGAGAAGCTTCAATGAATTGAATTAACAATATGATGCAGTGGTATTCATAATTGGGGTTTGCTCTTTTTATTTTTTTAGGTTCAAAGGCCTCAGATAGAGCCTATCATCTACAGAGATCTTTTTCTCTTCCGCACTCTGGCTTCATTCTTGAATGGCATCAGTCTACAGAAACTGGGGTGCAACGCCGAGCTTATAGTTGATGAATTTGGTGAGAAGCTATTGGAGGAGTTGGATTATACCTTGGTAATGCTGCACATTCCTCTTTTTGCAAACTGAATGGTGAAAGAAGTTTTGCTTATCTTGGAAGGCTTTCACGTCTGTATTTTCTAATATCCCTCCTACCTTCTCTTTTTTTCCCCCTTTAGGAAGCTCGTAATATCGAAGACTTCTTGGAGAATTTCAAAGATGACCCTACTGTTAAAATACCTCGGGTTTACATACAGCTTTCTGGTCCACGTGTTTTGGTAATGGAGTGGATCGATGGAATCCGGTGCACCGATCCACAGGTGTGGATCTTTAGAGTTTTCCTCAAATGCATGCTTTGGGATATCTTCTTTATATTAATACGTTATGATTCTTGTGACTTAGGCAATCAGAGAGGCAGGAATTGATATAGATGGATTTTTGACCGTTGGAGTTAGTGCAGCCTTACGGCAGCTACTCGAATTTGGCCTATTCCACGGCGACCCTCACCCTGGGAATGTCTTTGCTATGCGTGACGGACGCATTGCCTATGTGGATTTTGGCAATGTTGCTGTGCTCAGTCAGGTAAGTAATATGATGTGATTTGACTGTACTTCTCAGTGAAATTAGTTGAGTAGCAATTTACAAGAGCAGCTCCTCATTTAGAAGTCTTAGGTTATGTACAATATGTTAGAAATTAGTCTCTTTAACGAACAGGATAAGTAAATACAAAATACTCTCGTATCCTTGTGAATATAATGAAATACTCTCTAAATTTCTCCTAGTTAAGTTCACTGAATTAAGTTAACTTAATTTGATTCTATCTGCGCGTCTTCTCTTTTTCAGCAAAATAAACAGATTCTGATTGATGCTGTTGTGCATGCGGTGAATGAGGACTATGGCGAGATGGCAAATGATTTTACCAGGCTTGGATTCCTAGCTAGTGGAACTGATGTTGCCCCCATTGTTCCAGCATTAGAAGCAATATGGCAAAACTCCCTTGAAAAAGGACTTGCTGACTTTAATTTTAGAAGTGTTACAGGTACCTTGAATCACACGCTTTGTTTCCTGTTAATTGCACTCTGCTCCCAACATCTACAATTTTTTTTTGTTTTTTCCTGTGAAGCACATTACTTGGTAATTGTGCTATTTTAAGTTGGCACTAGGAGATATGCTAAGAATGGGAGACATTGTGATGCACTAAACAACAAGCTCTCATAGTTTAGATCCTTATGACACCTAAAATTTGCATGCCAGCACACTTGGTTGCACCAAGAGAGAGATTAAGCCATTGGTTTTTTTTTTGTTGTATTGTTTTCCTTCATTTGATACTGTGTATTTTAGAAATTGATGACCTACTAATTTGAGCTTAGCCTTAGTATGTCTAAAGTATAACATTTCATGCTTTGACTGGTGCACGCTTCCCTCGGTTTATCAATTTGTTTTATTTGATTAGCATCCTTGACCTGGGATGAGATTAGATACTATACACTATTGTCCTGTGGTATGGCCCGTAATGTATTTGTAGCTTCACTTAGAACACTTTATTTTTTTAGAGATGAGAAAATCTTTTGACTGGAAAGTTGAGCTGCAACCTACTCCAGTGCCCTAACTCGTGTGATGCAAGGATATATACTTTATTGTATTCGTCTGTTTTGCTGATTAAGATGTTAAAAGGAGTTAGGTGGGTTTGGCAATTGAAAAATTGCATGACGAAGTCATTTTTAGTGTTTGTTCTGCAAAATATTTTGCAAGGAAATATTTTTACCAGGAGGAAAGTGACTTCCTTCACTTATAGGCGGAAGTCATTTTCCTTTACGATAATTCCAATTCTTGACTTCCTTCATTTATAGGCGGAAGTCATTTTCCTTTACGATAATCCCAATTCTTACTCCATATCACTTGATCCATCCAACACTTAAATATAATTACCAACGTTTAATACTCGATGAAACACTATCCAACTGACATTATTATCAATCTTTAATGAATATTGTTTTACGAAAATTATCTACTCACCAACAAAACACTAATAAATAAGTGAGGAAACCGCTTATTTCCCTAGAAAATATTTTCCTTCGTACCAAACACTTTACTTTATAGGTTAAAAGAAATTAGATATACTGAAAAATACAGCTCTAAATGGTTCCTACTTTTTTCATCTCCTGCGACAATGCTTTGCAAACTGTTATGGTTACTAAAGCACTTTTTTTTTTTTCAAAAAGCACTTTTTGAAAAGCACCATTCAAAAGCACTTTTTGGCCAAGCTTCTCCATGGCCAAAAAAGTGTTTTTCAGTAGAAGCAGAAAAAAATAGCTTCTCCCCAACAACACTTTTTTGAAAAGCACTTTTAGGAAAATTACACTTAAAAGCACTTTTTAGAAGCTTGGCCAAACACTAATTGCTGCTCAGAAGTACTTTTCCAATTAATTAGCTAAACACAAACTGCTTCTCGCCAAAAGTTCTTTAAGAAAAAACACTTCTAAAAATAAGCTGATTTTAGAAGCTTGACCAAACAGGCTATATTATAGAGATTGACTATCCTATTTGTCTAACTGCAAACTGGCTACATGGAGGCCTATGTTGTTAACCTAATTTGAGTTCAGTAACTCCTTGTGATCATTTGAAATATTTTGTCTTCACCAATTATCTGGTTCTTATGATTGGCATTTGTGACGATCAATTCGACTAATTAAGATTGCACCAGTAATTGTTTACTCTTTGCTGTTTGAAGACTCCTGTATTTATCAATTGAAATATATGATGTAAATGCTACTAGAGATAAAGTTCAATTTGGTCTCTAACAATGTAAATAATGCTCTCGTGCAGGCAAATTCAATCAACTAGTTTACAACTATCCTATCCGGATACCAGAAAGGTTTTCTCTCGTTATTCGTTCTTTATTGACTCAAGAAGGCATTTGTTTGACCCTGGAGCCAGATTTCAAGTTTCTGGAGGTGAAACATCTAGCTTTTTAGCTCGCAACTTTTGAAAAAGTGCATGTTTACTATTATTTCATCTTTTAATAAGGCAATAAGCCATCTGGTAATGCTGTTGGTCAGAAAACCAGAAAAATTTCTCCACTAATCATTTGAATAAAAATTTAACCTGTTGATCCACAGATATTAAGTTTGATTTTTAAAAAAAATAGACCTGCTTGGAAATAATTTTGAAGTTTGGTATCACTTTGGACTAAAGTAGACTTTAGCTCATACTCATGGCCCCTTGAAAATTCTACTGAAGCACATCCTGTAATCTCTTCTCTGCTTTTTAGGCAGTGTAGCAATTAAAGCTACAGGCAAATTTTATTAAACGATGAATCATAGGGCTGTTTTGATTTTTAGGCATTCACCTATTTTTGTCATGACATGTTGTCAAATAATATGAGGAGGCCTTCTGCTGAAAATATTTGATTCTAGTAATCTTACTCTTTTATGCATGCTATTTTGCATACTTTTTTGGTATATTTATGCTATTAATAATCATGAGCATCATTTCAGGTAGCCTATCCTTATGTGGCAAAGCGTCTCCTAACAGATCCTAACCCAGCTTTACGTGAACGCCTTATACAGGTTGGTAAATCATCTCTCATTTTATCATGCTTTATGAAGAGCATAGTATTTTCTATTTAACCTCTTAGTCAACCTTTCTGAAACTTTTTTGTCGAAGTTGGATGATATGATGTTAACATAAGAGATATTTTTATATGTTAATCTTTAAAAAGTGTAAATTTAGACCTGAGATAGTTCTCGGTAAGCTATTCAAAAATAACTAAAGAATGAAGACAAAGAGTTGCATGAGTGAATGACATCATTCTGAGACATCCCTGAATAATGGTATTTTCAGTTCTATGGCTTATCTGACTTGACTTGTTGGGGACCATGGCTCGGCAGTTATGATATACTTAACTTCTGATATTTATGGCTGACGTCTTAACTTTTTCTGGAAATCAGTGTCAAATTTAACTATATGGAACATGTACTCTATATTACCATTCATTTAGTATACGATGAATTGTATATCCAGAGGCAACCAATAGGAAGTATGGGTAGAAATGCAACCAATCCGGATGGACATAAAGTTTATCTAGTAGAAAATGGATCCAATCTGCTCCATATAATCTTTGCTTTTGCAACTAGCGTTGTGTTCTGATAGGTCGGATCAGATTGAAGTTCAACTGTTGATCCCATGATAGCTAACTCGTGGATTATCCTCAAGAGTCAAAATTATTTCTTTAATGAGAGAGTGGTTAACTTCTTAAACCATACTGTGCCATCAGATATCTGGTCAAAAAGTCATTAGGGTGATCTTCTTAAACCATAGGCAGTGGCTAGTTGTGGCTTTTTGCCTAGCTAGGCGTCTTTTTTTCTCTTTCGATGATTTACCAAAAACAAACTAGGGTTAAATGAAAAGAAATGATTGAACTTGTCATGGGTCAGATATGTAGTATTTGGGTGGTCCATACCTAGTCTAACTTCAACTCATACATGGACTTCAAGAATTGTGTAATAGATATTACAACTTGATCCACCGAAATTTTCTTTCACAATACAGTTTATCCAAAGTTAATGTGATACAGTTCCTTTGACACCACTGCTAACAATCTATGATGGAATATGTTTTATTCAATAGTAGTTGAATTGACAGTAAAATCAAGAGGGAGGCTTTTCGAAAGAGTGTCTGATTTAGTCCGGTCTGATCTTCCACATCAATTAGCGCATAGATATTTCCTATGCAAGCTATTGACTCTATATGTTTTCCTTCCGGATATTGTTCTCTTGTTAGGTTCTGTTCAAGGATGGTCTCTTCCAGTGGAAACGACTGGAGAACCTGATAACTCTAGCAAAGGAAAACGTCACAAAACTGAGCGAAAACCCTGCATTTCGAGGGAATAATAGGTAACTTCTTGGCAATCCTTATTTGGCGAAGTATAGTTATCGTGTTCCACTGTTATCACACTTTTCTGATATGTTTTTGTCAGAGGAACCAGCAAACATTTGAAGATTGAACAGAAACTAGACCTCACTGACACAATCAAGGATGGAGCTCGACTTTTCATACTTGATGAAGGAATTCGTAGGCAGCTTCTTCTTGCTTTGACCGAAGACTCCAAGCTTCACATTGAAGAAGTATGTAATATCTGATTGATACATAATTGTCTATGTCGGAATATACTCAACTCTGATGCGATTGTATCTTGCAGGTAGTTGATGTATATAGACTGCTTGAAGACCAGGTAGATGTACCTTCAATGGCTTTAGGACTAGCACAAGGTATGCGTCCATTAGCCTTTCCTCCAGTTAAATACTAGTAAATCATACATTTCATAATATATATGATTCATCGCGAACTTTACGTGTCTTAACTTTTGCAGACTTACCATCTGTTGCTCGAGATATATTGCTTTCATGGAGTGCCTCTGTACTATCAGACCGATAGTTCCCTTCTGAGTGCATTCCTCGACGCTGATAATATTTGAATTTGTTATCCTTATGTAAAGTTGAGTTCTCCCTCTTCGCCCTTCCCTTATTTCTTCTCCTCTTGGTCGCATTTTCCCCGTGGGATCTAGGTGGAATCTCCAAAGTTTTGGGTAAATATATTTGTGTAGTTACAGGGGAAGCAGTAAAGAGATGAAAGTCGTGTAATATGAGAAATTCGTGTTGATAACACCAAATTTTCACAGGTATGATGCAACGTGCAAACGTATCGAAAAGAAAGCATCATGTATAGCAGTGATTCTTATACAGTTCTTGTTTGCTGAAAATCGAGCATGATTTTATTTTGTCTGAAATCCCCTTGTTCTGCATATAATAAGCCTTTTGGCGTGTATAAATATATTAGTGCTTATAATGTTACCAAGATGCAAACTACATTTAAAGACTAATTCATGCAACGTACTGTTTTATTAACAGACCTAAATATTTAAATTAAAAACTGTAGAATGTATGTGAAGGGAAGACTAATTCATGACAACTTTAAGTAATTTTAACTTACAATTTGTTCTTAACTATTAATTAATCTCGCCTCTTGGTTCGTCTAGTGCGTGTAATGTTATCAAGATGCAAACCGCATTTAAAAGGGTATGCAAATAAAGTAAGTACAAAATATTAAGTTATTATATGTGAAAATTATTCTATAATTTTCTTACTCGTTTATTGAACATCTCTGAAGAATAACACTATAACCAATTCTTAACTTGTTAATGGACACATTGTTTTTTCAACTTTTCATCTCATGTCGCTCTGATGGAACTTGAGTTAAGTAGGAAGAAACTGAAAGGATAATATATAGTCATAATGTTGCGGCCAAACGCACACATAAGTATACGTAGTCGTCAAGTAATAAAGTAACTAAAAATCAGATGTCGAACCCACAAAGACTTATAATTTAAATTAACTAGATTAAACTAGGGAATCTTACATAAATGTCCCAAATAAGTTCCAACTTGCCAACCTCTAGCCATTAATCATAGACTTACCAAAACTAGCCAAGACATATAAAAATTGTAAACCCAAATAAATAAGATTCTTTGTCTCCAAGAATCACACGCAAAGATCTCCTTCTATATTTTAAAGCGTGATCAGCACATTAGATGCAAGACGGAAAGAAAATTTCATGGATGAGGTAGCAAACAAGGTGATGAAATACAATATATATATATACAAGATTCCAAAAATCTAAGCAAAAAAGGACCTTTTCAATGGGTATGATTGAAATTCATTTAAAACATATAGATGAGTCAATATACAAATTTTGAGAAAGATTGGAGGTGATTTGGACTGATTTGGTATCAAAATTCGTAGTTAAAATCGAGTTCAAAAAATTCTTCTGTGGCAATATGTATCACACACAGGTATACATGTGATACATATTTGATACAAATATGATATATATGTGATACACAAATGATACACAGAGTGATACATATATAATATTTTTTCATGTTTCATCTTCTACTTCGAATTTTCAATTCAAACCACCTCAAAACTCCACCAAATCATCCCAAAACTGAGATTCAAACTTCTTAAGATATAATCAATCTATTCTAATAACACCCACTTAAAAGAAAGCAAAGTTTGACCCTTTTTTGGCTACAAATAACTAATTGGTTAATATTGGTAACATTTGGCTAATATTAGTAATATTTAATGAATTGGCCAATTCTTGTAATAAGCTACTTATTAATGGAGATAGCTGGCAGTTTCCGATTAAACTATCCTAATTATCTAAACAAGAATTAGATCCAAAAGTATTTGACTCTAACTAACTAAAATAAAAAAGACAAAATACTGAACTTTAAACAGATGAAGGGCAGATTTTTATGTTATTGATGTGATGAACACGATCTAGGGTTGTGGGCTATCTAACAATCCTATTGTATTCTTCAACTAATTCAACTTCTTTATCTATCTGGTTTGCTAGTTGACTGGATCGTTTATATGCATAACATGTTCTCACAGTACTATTTGCCTATCCACAATATATCAATCTTATATTCCTACTATATTGAATCTATCAATGAATAAAGAACACGACTGTCACGACCCATACCGATGGGCCATGACGAGTGCCTNATATATATATACACACACACACACACACACATCTGGTCATGGGTTACATGTATAAATGAATGTAATGAAAAGTAAGTCAATAAGATCTCTCGGATGTCATAAAATCAATATGCATTCGGATAAATTTTATCAAGTACATATTTTTCTGAGACCCATGAACAAAAGATATAATAATAAGACACATGAGGAATCAAGAACATAGGAACCCCTAGTACTTTTAAGAATAGTAGCATTTATGAAAATTGTACGTTTGCTCGTTTCATTTGTATCGTATGGATCATGCTAAAAGGAAAGAAGGGTTAACCTTAACATACCTGAGCCGATTCTCTTAACAATCCCTCTAACCCACGTCTTTTGCGATAAAACACCTAACAGCGGATCGAAGTAGAAAAAAATCCGTATGATATTCTTAAGAAAGATTATACCATGCTCCCTTATAATTGCAAGTCACGTTGCTATTACATTATGTAGTTTCGTATGAATTCCTTTGTAGCTTTCTTCCATTACTTTGCAGATATATGCATCTCCCTTTAATGAATTAGGGAGGTTTCTTATCATAGTGGGTTGTGGGCCCCACTTGATATGGATTACTTTTTCAAAATCTCCTAAATATGCCACCTAGCCACATAAGTCCAAGAGTCATTGTTTGGTCTTAGCAAACATAACCCCTTGCTGCCACGTTGGGGTGATGATTCCACCAAAAACTTATTCACAAATTTCTAATTGATTTGTTAACTTCCCACTCAAATTAATAATTAACCCATTACCAACATAATTAGGTACTATCCTAATTTACTTAAAATACTAATCACTTCTAACATACTTTATACACCTTACTATCATGGTCATGTGGTACATTGTATGACACTAGTCCATAAATATGGGGTATTATAGCTTGGACCATATTTTATCCTAAATTGTCAAATTTCAACGAAACTTATTTTCTTCGATTTGTTTACCCTCTAACCTTCACGACACTTACTTATCACCTGTTATAAACAATATAATTACCTATATCCTCAAAATTAATCTCATTCCCGAGCTTACATTGATCAACTTACGAAGAAACTTTTATGTACGAAAATACGAAATGTAACAACGACATTTAACTAAGAAACACTGTTAGGTATATCTCTTTCCTAACCACAAAATTATTTCTCGAGTCGCGGGTTTAGAAACAAGATCTACTCAATCCTATTTGCAATCTAGATTTTTCTCTCCCGAGTTCAACTCTAGATTCATAGATAATATTCAATTAGTGATCAAACAATAAAATAATTAAGCGCAAGAGTGAATAAATAAACCACTATAATAAACCAAAAAATTAAAATTAGTATTCAAACAACAATGGTCATGAAAGAACCACAACCTTAGAAGTAAAATGAAAATAAAAATAACTCTTTATTTCTAGATTACCCTTTTAAGTAGATAAGAACCTCAACATTTCTTCTAATTCCAACACGTCCAAACACAATTTTTTTGATATGCATGGCAATCTTCATATCAATAATTATCCAAGAAAATATAGTATTCTATATATAGAAAGAAATCTCGACAGAAAATATTGTGATTGGAAAACTCTAAGGCTTTTCTTCTCTTCTTCTCTAAGGGAAATGAAAGCCATATGATATAGGGCTTTCTCATGTAATATGTCTCTCGATAATAAGCTTTCTTTTGATTCGGGTTAATCTCAACTTCTTGATGAATTACGGATTCCTAAACCTAAAAAACGTACCTAAGAGACGAGCGTCTTCTCTTAGGTTTCTTTCTCTCGCACTCGTCGGCGCCTGGCCCACGTTAGAGGGGAAGACTAGCAAAGCGAGAAAAGAAAGAGGGAAGGGGAGCAACATCTTATTTTCTACATAGACATATTAGCCAAACAAAAATCATCCAAAAAAACATAAAAATCACCAAGTTTGGCGGAAGAAAAGAAGAACCTCAAGCTCCACATTCACTTCTTGTTCTCCCTAGATCAAAGTCCTATAAAAATAGCGTTTAAGGTATATTTATTGGTGTAGGAGGTGTTTTAGTCCAATGCCAATTCGCAAGGAAAAGCTGAAAATTGCTGGAGGCCTCGTTAGGGGGTCCTCGTCGCACGAGCCAGCTTCCAGCTTTCTTTTTAATTCCTTGCACCCGTTCTCGTTCATGGGCATTAGTTTACTGTTTTGCGAAAGCTTTCACTTTCTTTTCTTGTATATTTCTCTTGCGATGCAAGGCTTTTGTACGAGCTCGCTTCAAGTTTCTTTTCTCATTTTTTTTCTCTTTTCGCTCCAAATCACCTTCGTTTGGTGCAATATTGTCACGACCCAAATTCAACTAGCCGTGATGGCACCTAACCTCACCCGCTAAATAAGCCAAATAANTAAGTCTGTTGCGGCGTGCAACCCGATCCTCCAATATATTTATTATAATTAATTCTGTTGCGGCTTGCAACCCACTCCTCCAACATACTCATTTACCAATTCTTATAGAAGAATTTTCCCAATAAATGCAACAATTAATAAAAATTATAAGACAACAAGCATACAATAATTATGATTTAATTACGAAACAAACAAAGGCAAATAGCAAATTATTATAGAAATCAGAGAGAAAATATGCAGTTTAATATTTAATATGCTAAATGTCAAATAACAATTAAGGCACATAATTCAAATAGCATGTAACAATTAATGCAGGAATTCAAGAATTAATATTTGGCAAAGAATAGGAGAGAAACAATTATTATAATAATTAATTCATATTTTAAAATAATTTAT